AGGACTGGACACCAAGATCCAGGTGGCCTAAGAATTAGGGCTTTCTCTTGGCCCAGAGGGGTCCAGTCTCTCATTTAAATATTTAAATACGTACTTAGGATGTTATACAGGCATACCTTTTTTTATTGCATTCATTTTATGCACAACGCAGATACTGTTTTTTTAATAAATTGAAGGTTTGTGGCAGCCCTGCGTGGAGCAAGTCTTTCCGTGCCATTTTTCCACCTCATGCGTGTGTTACATTTTGGTAGTTCTTGCAATATTTCAAGCTTTTTCATTATTGTTATATTTGTTATGGTGATCTGTGATGAGCCATCTTTGATTTACTCTTGAGGCTTTGTTTTCAAGTCTGCTAACACAACAGCCTGCTCACAGTCTGCAGCCCATGGATCAAGGAGAAATTTTGACTTTCCAAAGTCTTATTTAAGAAATACATTCTGTAAGGCTATAGCTGCCATAGATGTGATTCCTCTGATCCATCTGGGCAAGATAAATTGAAAACTTTCTGGAAAGGATTCATCATGCCAGATGCTGGTAGGAATATCTGTGATGCATGGGAAAAGTCAAAACACTAATATTAACATGAGTTTGGAAGAAGTTGATTCCAGCCCTCGTGGATGACCTTGAGGGAGGGGTTCAAGGCTTCAGTGGAGGAAGTTACTGCAGATGTGGTAGAAACAGCAAAAGAACTAGAATTAGAAGTGGAGCCTGAAGCTGTGACTGAATTGCTACATCTCATGATCCAACTTAGATGAGGAGCCGCTTCTTATAGATGAGCAAAAAAAGTGGTTTCTTGAGATGGAATCTATTCCTGGTAAAGATGATGTGAAGATTGTTAAAATGGAAACAGAAGATTGAGAATATAACACAAAGTTAGTTGATAAAGCAGCTGCAGGATTTGAGAGGGTTGACTCCAATTTGAAAGTTCTACTGTGGGTAAAATGCTATCAAACAGCATCACATGCCACAGATAAATCATTCCTAAAGGAAGAGTCAACCGATTAGGCAAACTTCATTGTTGTCTTATTTTAAGAAATGGCCGCAGCCACCCCAGCCTTCAGTAGCCACCACCCTGATCAGTTAGCAGCCATTGACATTGAGGCAAGATCCTCCTCCAGCAAAAAGACTGACTCTTTGAAAGCTCAGATGGGGGTTAGCATTTTTTAGCAATACATTATTTTTAATTGAGGAATATACATTATTTTTTAAGACATGATGCTACTGCATACTTCATAGACTACAGTATAGTGTAAATAGAACTTTTATATACTGATTTATTTGACTCGCTTTATTTCGATATTCACTTTATTGAGGTTGTCCCAATGGAACCCACAGTCTGTCTAAGGTATACCACCCTGGGGCACTGCCCTTATCTATGACAACTTTCTCTGGAGACAGTGTTCCCTGGGTGGAATCTGTGCCTCACCCAGCCAAACTGATCAACTTGACCACAGTTCATGTCAACTTTAACCAATTAGGCAAGTGGCTGTAGACAAAACAAAAATATTGTTCTTACAAAATGAGTGAAAACACAGGCAAAGATTTATGTTTTTATTTTTAACCATTCTCAAAGTGGACTCAAATTCTTAACTTTTGTTACAACAAAGAATCTTTAAAAAAAGATATTTGAACTTTTCCCACCATTTGAATTTGTATTCTCTCTACATCCCCCTTCCAACACACACGCCTCTCTGATGGGAAAAAATAGCCTGTGGTCACGGGTTGGGTGCTCTAGAACACAGGCTCTGGGCCAGGAGAATGAGCCAGAGCGGGCAGAGGGGGAATGGAGCTTGTGATGCAGACCCCACATGCCACTGACATGCCCCAAGGGCACTCTGGAGCTGAAGTTGTTCCAAGCTGGCCCAGGAAGGGCAGGCCTTAGACTCCTGCAGAGACCAGCTACAGAAGATGGACGACCACCCAGGAGGCACGACCCTGGGGGAGGTAGCTCGCTGGAAGGGCTGGTGCTGCAGGCTGTCTACTGCCAGAGCTCCAGGCAGCTCAGGGAACAGGTCTTCAGTGGAGGGGGATTGGGAGGCCCACCACAGTGCCTGTCACACCACAGGGTGGAGGCTTCCGTGTCCCTTCTGCTGTCTGCCCGCACTTGTTGGTGCCCTTCTCTTAGCCAAGCCAATTCTCTACACCAAAAAGCACCCTACATATACCTACCCCATTACCCTGACACCTGCTCATGCATGCAACCTTAAATGCAGCCTCCTGTCCCTTCCAGCGCACTCTCCCCAGTCGTTCTCCCGTCTGTCAGTTGTCATCCATCCAGCATGGTGACCCACATGCCTAGGATGGGCTGACTTCTCCTATGTCTCAGGCACTGCTTCCTCTTGCCTGTGGAATAGGTCCTTTCCCCCAAGGTCCTGTCTTTGGGTCTTTCCTTTCTCACCCTGACCGTCTCATCCCAAGCTGGGGTGCAACCACTTCTCTCTGTGTTGGATTCCTTAGCCCTGAGTGTGCAGCCCTGACCTTCACCCCAGGTACACTAGGACCTGCATGCCTTCAGGTCACACCTGCAGAGCTGTGTTGCCAGGTGGATTTACCCATGCAACTGTTTGTCCCGCAGCAAAGAGGAGGGCCAGGAGCAAGTGGGGGAAAGTCAGTCCTTGGAACACAGCTCCACAGAACCCTTCTGTCCTAATAATCACAGTGGCTGCTAACACATAGCATTCAACTACCTGCCAGGTGATTTCCTAATCTTGATTCCTCACAACAGCCTGATACAGTACATACAATTATTATTGTTATAAGGAAATGAAGAAACTGAGACACAGGGAGATGAAAGTAACCCAGCTAATGGGAGGTAGAGCAGAATTCAAGGCAACCTGGAGCCCCAAGGCTGTACTCTTTACAACTCTGCCAGCTTTAACACACAGAATGTGTTGGACCTGCAGCCCTTCCTGGGGGAGGCCTCCATTTCTGGGTTGACCCTGGCCCCAGAGGTAGGTGTGATGCCCAGGCCATTTCACTTCCAAGGTCTCAGTGATTGGTTCAGAAGAGAGCATGGGAGCCAAGCCAGGCCCTGCAGTGTCTTCCCTGGGGAGTTTTCTGCCAGAGCCAGTGGGAACAAGGGCCTTTCTTTCCAGGAAGGTAGCTGAGCCAGCAGAGAATGGAGCCAGAGGAAGGGGCAGGGCCGGAAAGACAGACGGAGCCCTGAGGCCCAGGCTGAGCCCTGCGTCTAATCTAATCGAGTGCACGTTCGGCGATGGTTTAGTTAGCCCATCTTATCACCTAATCTGGTTTGAGTTTGGTCTCTGTCCGTTTTGATCTTTCATTCACCTTTGCAATTTCAGTATCTAGCAGTGCCTGGCACGTAATGGCACTTATGTAGTTCAAAAAATATTTGTTGAAGGCGTCTGGGGTCCTCCCTGACAGCTTTATCTCCAGTTCTCTGGTCCGGGCTCCAGTCAGGCTGAGCTGCTCGCCTGCCCTCCCCAACCAAGCCCCCAGCACATGGGCCTCAGCTCTTTGTTCTTATTGCCTCTGTCAGGGGGACACCATCTCCCTTTCTTTTTAGGTCTGACTCGGTCACTTCTCTGGGAGGCCCTGATTATTGGGATCTGAACTGGCAATCTCCTGCCTCTGAATTCTTTGCTTACACTACAAGGGGACAGTTCACGTCTCACCTACAGAAGTGGCAGCTCCTCAAGGGAAGGGATCAGACACACCTGGTGCATCCCCTTAGGGCCTGTACTTCCTCACATGAGCCATCTGCAGGGTAGGGGTGGTGAAGGTGGGCCTCTGGGGGCCAGGCAGATGACATCAGTCACTAATGCAAGCCAGGTAGGTCCCTCTAAAGTGGGCAGCTTAGTTACCAGTTGTCCTGAAAAAAAAAAAATAAAGCCCCTAGGTTTTGCAAGAGAAGCAGAAATCCATTTTCTTAAATATAAAATCTCCTGGTTTTTAAATCTTAGCAATTAATTTACAATTTGAGAAACATTGTATAGGGCAAACAAAGCCATCAGTGGGCTGGTTTCAGCCAAAGTCTCCTATTTGGAGACTGCTGTGAAGGAGGGAAGGAAGAATGAACACATCCACGGGCAGGGTGCAGCAAGGGTGTGTGCGGGCTGGGGCCTGTGTGTGTGGCCCCAGGCCACGACTGGTGTGGCGCTGTGTCCAGCCAGAGGGTGGGCTAGTGGCTTTCCAAAGCAGGCAGCTCCCTTTGCAAGGTGGACAGAATCACAGACAAGAGTAAAAACCGTGTAAAGACACCAGGGTCTAAGGTGGCCAACTTGTCCTGGTTTGTCTGGGGTTTTCCTGGTTTTAAATCTGGAAGTGCCACATCCAGGCTGGTCCTAGGCAAACCAGGATGGTTGGTCACCCTATCTAGATCCCTATTTCCACCATGTCCCCAGCCATCTGGAATTAATAATAATGGCGGCTGAAAATCGTGAGCTCATTGAGTGCCAGACGCCATGTGTTAGGACCTGCATTGTTTCCCTTACGTCTCACCAACACCTTCTTCATGTGGGCTTGTTATCCACTCTACAGATGAGTGTCGGAGGTTCGGAGGGTGAAGTGACTGGCCCAGGGTCAACAGTGGTGCTGTGGTTTGAACTCACATTGGTCTGGCTCTGTGCTCTCAGCTCCACTCTCAGAGAGTCCCCACAGGGTGGCCCGAGTCTGCTAGGTGAGTAGGCCCTGGGCAAGGGTCAGTTACCACTTCCTCAGGAGTGCACTTATCTGATTGGAGGTCCTGCCAGGATCAGCCCCCACACCCGGCCCCCCAGTCCTGCCCAGGCTCTGCTTTCTGAACGTTGATCCACAGTCCCTGACTGGGACATGGCGAGAAGCCCTCAGGGGACACTTTTCTGTTTCCACAACACCCAAGCCCCCTCCCATCCTTCCAGCCTGCCTCCACTGCAGGGACTAGGGATAAAGCTGACACTTGGAAAATGCTTGCGGTGATTTATTACCTGGTCTAGGGAGAGCTGACCAGGGCAGGGGTGGGCAGGGAGAGGGGCATGAGGGGTCTTGAAGGCCACTGATGTCTAGTCACAGTTGGAGCCGGCATGGGCCCCGCGTGGGGCCAGGTGGCTGGCGAGGTAGCGCACGGCTGAGCGGAAGCCTTCCATCGTCATCTGCCCCACCATCTCCAGCACGTGGGTGACTGAGCGCAGGACCAAGCTTGTCCCAGATGCCAGGCTGGAGGAAAAGGTCGTGGTGGCGTTCCCTAGGATGCTGGAGACGGAGCGCAGGCTGGGCCTTGTGCTGTGCAGCAGGTCTGTCACAGAACTGCAGGCAGAGGCCAGGAAGCCTGCGGCCAGGCCCATGGTGGTCTCAGACCACACCAGGATGTCTGCCAGGGAGCAGGCTGAGTCCTCACCCCCACCCAGCACACTGGTCCTGGAGCACACGGAGCTGTCCTGCTTGCTGGCCACATACAGGCTGGAGTCCAGGGGCCTCCTCTCCCTGGCCACTGGGTGGGGACCAGGCGAGGGTGGGGCACTGCCTCCAGGGGAGGGAGAGAACGGCCCAGCCTGCAGGTCTCCAGAGCGGCCCACCAGATCCCCCTCAGTCGCTACCGTGGACTTGGCTTCTGGCAAAACATCAGGGTCAGGGTTCAAGGCCTCTGGACCCTCAGGTTTCTCCTTAACAGTTCCAACGGTGCTGGTGGCCTGAACGTCAGGCTGTCCACTGGAGTCAGCAGAGCTCACAGCGGGCTGAGCCTCCGCAGTTTTGGGGGACTGTACCTTAGCACTTGGTGTGGTTGGTTCTAATTCCTGCTCCTCGTCTGAGATACCCGCTGTTTGTGGTGCCTCCTCCTTCCTCAGGGAGTCAGGCTGGAAACCCTGAGGACTCTGAGTCATCACGAAATCTTGCACCTGTTCATCCCACACCAGGTTCTGGGGGCTCACGGATGTTTGCAGGGCATCTGGGGCTGGCTGGGCAAGCAGGGCGGTGGCCTTCTTGGGCTCCTGGCTGTGTCCGGTAGCTGCTTCAGGTTTGTCCTTGTCCCCAGATGCTGATGTGGCCTCAGAGGTGACTGGCTTCATGGAGTTTTGATCTACATCCTGCTGTTCAGCTGCAGTGCCACTAGCTGCTGGGACCGCTGCAGGGAGGGGGACCTGACTTTGGGATCCCACTGTCGGGCTGTCCATAGACATATTGTTGCCATGTGTGGGGAAGCTGGCAGCTCTGGCCTCTCCCAAGGGCTTGGTGGTCATCTAGGCCCTCTGGCACTTGTGCTGGTTGAGGAAGTGACCATCACCTCACTGGGCTGAGTTGTCCAGGTGATGAGGTCACAGGGGGCTGGAGGCAGCTGGTGATGTAACAGGCACCTGCAGAGCAAGGTTCTTGAGCCTTTAGAATGTCTGCTTTCATGGGCTGAGTACATGAATCAACTCTTTGCTGAGTTTGCAGGTGCATAAAGAGAGAAAAGCAAATGGCTTGGAAAAGGGTGATGTGGATGCATGCACAGTGCGCTTGACCAAAAGGAATCATGGGATGCAGGTGTTGATTTACAAAAGGTGTTATAAGGGAACATTCCCAGTACCTCTATCCACATTGGTGGCTCAGGACCCCAATTTGGCCAGTCCTTATGCCGAGTCAGTTTCCCAGCAGTGGTGGTACAAATAAGTGAAGTCTAAGTGCCTGGGCAGCTCCTAGTCTTGACCATCTTTGGTTGTGGGCATTGTAGACTGTTTGTGTCCCAGCTCAAAGTTCATGTTGAAAGCTAATCCTCAGTGTGATGGTGTTTGCAGGTGGTGCCTTGGTCAGTGTTAGGTCATGAGGGTGGAGCCCTCATGAATAGGATCAGTGCCCTTATAAAAGGGACCCCACAGAGTTCCCTGGCTCCCTCCTCCATGTGAAGAGCAGAGAGAGAAGATGGCTGTGACACAGCCACTGAACTTTCCCACGCCTTGATTTGGGACTTACAGCCTCCAGAACTGTGAGAAATCAATTGCTGTTGTTTATAAGTCCCCCAGTTGACAGTAGTCTGTTATAGCAGCCTGAACTAAGAATTTTGTACTGAGATGTGGGGCTGCAGATGTAACAAATCCCTGAGAAGGTGGAAGCAGCTTTGGAGCTGAGCACGAGGCAGAGGCTGGAGGATTCTGAGGTGTGTGCTTGAAAAGGTCTATATTGCCATGAACCGACCTTTCAGGGCAATTCTGGTGAGAGCTCAGAAAGAAAAGAGGAAAGCTGTAGAGAAAGCCTTAATCTTCTTGGAGAATCCCTAGGTAATCGCGAACAGAACATTAGTAGAAACATGCATGGTGAAAGACCATTCTGGTAAGGTCGCAGGTGGCAGTGAGGAACGGGTTATTGGAAACTGGAGAAAAGGCCAGCCTTGTTATAAAGTGGCAAAGAACTTAGCTGGAGTGGGTTAGCATTCTAGCGTTTTCTGAAAGGTAGAACTTGGAAGCTATGAAATCAGATATTTAGCTGAAGCAATTTTTAAGCAAAGTATTGAAGGTGTGACTTGTCTTCTCCTGTCTGTCACATGTGCTAATATGTAAGAGGAGAAAAATGACTTAAAGATGGAATTGTTAAGCTAAAGGAACTAGAACCTAAAGGATTTGGAACATTCTCAGCTTGTTCTTATTGCAAAGAATGAGAAAATGTGTTTGGAAGAGACCACTAAGGATGCGGCCAAGCAAACATGAGATATCATGGGGGCTGTCGCTCCCTTCACAGGCCCAGAGTGCAGAGTACAGGGGAGCACAGAGCAGTTTCAAAGGGGAGTCTGACAGCATGGGACTGGGCCCAGCTGCCTGGCACTGCCTCATGTCCCAGGCTCTGCATCTGCACTCTTGCACGACGCTTCTCGGCTGCCACAGGTGCAGTTCAGCAGGCCCTGCAGGGCTCAGTGTGGTCACGGTGGCTGCCCCTTGAAAGGGTGCAGCAGAAACTTTGGGCGTGCCTGCTCAGTGCGTCTCTGCCAGCGTCGAGCATGCTGGGCTCAGGGGCATGGCTGCATCTACCTAGACCTCCGAGCACAGGGCTGCCCAGCAGAGCACGAGCTCGGGACCGCAGCCCGGGAGAGCAGCTGCGAGGCTGCCTGGCTGTGGGGTGACACTGCCACCCCAGTGGGCCTGGAAGGCCCGCACAGGGAGCCAAAGAGGATTAGTCTCAAGCCTTAAGGTCTAATGTGATTTGTCCTGTTAGGCTTGGGACCTGCCCGGGACCTGTCACTCCTCTCTTTCCCATTTCTCCCCTTTGGAAGGGGAGTGTCTGTCTTATGCCTGCTCCACTGTTGTACTCTTGGAAGCTTGTTTGGTTTCTTGTTGGATTTCACAGGTTTACAGCTAGAAGGGATTCTACCACAGGACGAATCACACCTGGAGTTTCACTCATTATTAGATGTGATTTTGGACTTTAGACTCTTGAGTTGATGCTGGACCAAGTTACAATTTTGGTGGCTGTTGGGATGGAATAAATGTATTTTGCATGTGAGAAGAACGTGAAATCCGGGGGGTCAGGAGTGGAACCCTATAGACTGAATGTCTGTGAGCCCAAATTCAAATGTTGAAATTGAATCCCCAATGGAATAGTATTTTGAGGTGGTGCCGCTGAGAGGCGATTAGGTCATGAGGGTGGAGCCCTCCTGAATGGGATCAGCACCCTTCTAAAAGAGACCCCACAGAGCTCCCTCGCCCCTTCTCCATGTGAGGATGCAGTGAGAAGATGGCTATGAACCTGGAAGAGGGTTCTCAGCAGACACTGAAGCTGCAGCCCAAATGGGTGAAGACGGGGGCTAACCCTGGCGACACAGACTAGGCCGTCTCAGCCGGGCCGGGAGAGCAGAGAACACAAAAGAGAGCAACCCCTGAGTGTTCTTTGGAAAAGTGTAGACCCAGATAACCCTTCTTGTGCTTACGCTCCTCTTTAAGAAGGAGTGGAAGGTTCCAGTCTGTTGTGTCTGCACTTCCCTTGGGCTTATCAGCTAACATTTAGTGACTGCTTGTCTCGGGTAGGAGAGGGAGCTAAGCATCTAATCCTTTCAACTCCCTTATCATCTCTAGGTTAGACACTATCTATTATTACACCCATTTTACACATGGGGAGGCTGAGTCTCAGAGGAAATAAGTGACTCATTCAAAGTCACACTATCAGTAAGCAGTGAATCTTGGATTTGAACCCTGTCTGGCTGCAGAGCTTAAGCTCCCAGCACTATTTCATATCCAGGGAGGATATTAAAAATATTGAATCACCGAAATGGTAAGGATAGTGGCGAATGCAGACAAACGCCTACCATGATCCCATCACATCAGTAGGTAACAGCCGGTATCACTTCTCTCAGGCACCAGGCTCAACGCTCATTAAGTATTTCTTCTCCCCATGAATACTCTGCTGCCATCTCAGAGGCCACAGGGCAATCCCAAGTTTGTTAGGGTAGAAGGGACCAATGGGTACATCCCTGTACCTTGTGAAGGAATCATGGAGAAGACTGCTAGTTGCTCATCCTAGTAGACCTTCCTTAGTATCAGAACTTCAATTTTATTCAGGGTAGCTATGTGTTTAGTCAAAATAATACATTTCCCAGCCTCCCATACAGCTAGGCAAGATCTTCTGGCCCATGAGATGTAAGCAGAAAGTACTGAGTTGAATTTCAGAAAGGATCCTTCAAAGGACAGAATAACTTTTTGCTCTTTCCCCTTTATATCATTGTGCTATCAGGAATATAAAGGCTGGAGCACCAGCAGCCCTCTTGATCCATGAGGTGGTAACCATGAGGTTGGAAGGCACGCACTAAGATGGTAGGGCACAAAGATAGAAGGAATCTGGGTTCCATGGTTGCAGCCACTGTACCAGCTACCTGACAATCCTCCAGAATTCCTTTATGTGAGGGAAAACAATCACAGATATGTCCAAACTATTGTTATTTTGAGTTTTCTATTACATGCAGCTAAACTTAATTCTCATCCACTTCTAACAGTTATGAGATCACTGTCAGATAGGTGCTCAGTATTTGCTGGAATATTTTTCTGCCCTAAACAATCAAGCATATTGTTTTGAGTGCCTATATGCCTGGCACTGGGCCAGTGTTATTGCTCCACTTTTAGGTGAGGAAACTAAGACTTAGAGAAACTCAATACACAGAGTTAAATGCTGTCTGTCAGACTCCAGAACTCCCCATCCTCCACACTGGCCCCTGCTTTAGTTGGGAAGTTCTTGATGTCACCTCATGGACTGCCTGTGGCCCACTGCAACCCTCAGGCCCTCCTCAAAGGCACTGAAGCCAAATTCCTTGTCCTTCCTCGCCTCCTATTTGGAAGTCGGTTTTTGATTATACGTGCTGCACTTGACGCTTACCAGTGTTAAGTTACACATGCCTTAAAATTCTGTGCCAAGGGAGATAGAGGAGAATATAAAGAGCAAAGAGCAGAGAGGGTTATTAACATTTGAGAACAAAAATATTGTTTATTATAAATAAACATTAAATAATATTGGTGTACAACATAATTATATTTATTCTGTTGTATGAATATACACATACATGCACATAAATCTAAAAGAGTTTTTTCCCTTAATTCAGTAAAAAACTTTTCTGCATTTATTAACTGGTGTTCAGAGGAGGAAATTAGTCACAAAAAAAATTGCCTTTGATTTCTTTTCCACTCCTATCTCCTAGGGACAATGACTCTCCTATTAAATACATAAATATCCTTATTTTAGGATAAACCCAGTTTATGGAATATTATGCAGCTGTATAAAGCCTATGCAGACACATGGGAAAATGCTTTGTTATAGAACGTTACTCTAAAAAGCAGGGTACAGTATTTTATGCACACTGTGGGTATTTGCCAATACTCTCAGCTGGAAGTAATGGGAGCCCAACTCAAATGGGCTTAAATTTCCTTTATTTTTATTCCTTAAAAATAGAGGAATGTATTGGTTCACAGAAACCTGTATAGTCTAAGGGCAAGTTTCCACATGGCAGGGGATCAGTCTTTCCCCACTCCCTCTAGGGGTTCTCCTTTATGATTTATGCCTAGATTTTTGGGAGAATTCCCTCCGTGTGCAGGCGGCTAGCTGCCTGGGGCCAGCACAAAGAACCTGGTCCTCTGTAGTTACGGAAGGCCTCAGTCTCACGGGCCACTGTGCCCTTCTATCAAGCCACTGCTGCAGCCTGGGGACCACATCCTGGTTGGTCAGGTCTGGAGGGCCCATGGGGTCAGTCCCACGGAAACATAAGGTCTGCAAGTGGTAGTGAAGTGGG